AACCGGTATGAGAACCGAAATCATAACCTAAAACATTATAAAACGGACTAACTTCACACTCACAGTAAGGTTAGAAGTAAAAAAGATGTGCTTGTTGATCTTTGCGGGGTTTAGCCGACTGAGGATATCCACACAGTTTAATCCAAACACGACACTTGTCAGGATTTTACTTCGGTTTTGGGAAGGGAAAAAACGGACACCCCCTCCAACCTCTCTGTGAAACGCGTATCTGTGTTGCAAATGCCCGAGGCACAACGTTTAACCATATTTTGGATAAAACTACGACGGTAATAGCCTGCCGAGACCAAAAATATGAGACGCCTGTGTTGAAAGTCAATGAAGCGCTGTGAAAAAGTGTCCGACCTCTGTGGGAGCTGGTTCTTGGCTGTGGTGTGATTGGTCAATCTACATTCTAGGGCGTGGCTTAGCCAAAGGTGAATTTATCCCCAAAATCGTGAATAATAAACAGTAATACAGTCACTGGCAAGCAGTGACGGACATTCGCATTATTGGTCAAAACTGTGAACATGCAACAAGAACATAAACGTGTAATGACAACTTTTACAAACCAATTGCAAGTGTTTTTATGAAAGGGGATCTACTGAAGAGTTTTCAAGCTGGACTTGGCTGATCAGGTTATTTATGACCATCATCACTCTCTAACTCACATCTCACTAATTATTGTACTTTTTGTTCTTTTTCTGTCTCATTTTATACACAGCAGTGTCCAAACACACAAAACTCCTGGTAAAGCAACTGAGATCCACATATACTGTTATAAAGATGGCGTTGATTAAAGAGGAGAGTGAAGAGTTCAGGATTGAAGAAGTATTCACAGTGAAACAAGAAGATACTGAGGAACAAACAGGTTGGTTTCATTCTCAAAACTCTACAGAAATTCAGGGCCGGCGCTAGCCATTTGGGTGCCCTAAGCACAAATGCTTGGTGGTGCCCCCTTAACAACCCCCCCACCCCAACCACCCACTCACCCAAGGAATAACAACCATTCAGAATTTCTTAGTTAGGTTCTCTTTACTTCCAAAATAACTGCTGCAAATAAATACATTTACATTAACAATGGCACCAAATATGAAAAGAAATAAATAATAAAAAGGTTAAAATTATAAATACCAAAAACCACCACAATTACTAAAAAAACATTTTTGGAACTGGCTACAACTGCTGGTTGATGGTTCTTCCTCCTGGCCTTGAGTTGCTCCTTGCATGTATTTTAGCATTGACCCTGCATTCAGAAATACAAGACAAAATATTCAGGGATTCTACTGAATCAATAACCATCATACAAAAATATTGCACACATTAGTCTTTTATATAATATAGGCCTATGTGTCACTGGAACATTTAAAATTCAAAACTCTATTCTACCTTTAAAAGAGGTCTGATGAGGCACAGTATAATAATTCTGTACATAATTTGTAGGGCTGGGAAAAGATGAATCGCGATTAATCGCATCCAAAATAAAAGTTTGTGTCTACATTAATGATATAGGCCAATGTGTGTGTACTGTGTATAATTATTTTGTATATGTATTTAAGAAATATTTGTTATTTATATATAAAATATTTTAATTTATATATATATATATATATATATATAATATAAATTATCTATAAATATATACAGTAGCCTATATACATGCAAATATTTCTTAAATATATATATATGTGTGTATATTATATATACAATATAATTATACACAGTACTCATGTAGAAACTTTTATTTTGGATGTGATTACGCTTTTCCCAGCCCTAATAATTTGACAACTCCATATGAAAATATACAAACAGTGAGATTGTGTTTTTTTTTTTTAATTGCAGTTTCACCAATAGATGTCGCCCTTGGGCCTTTGACCGCATTATCCGATAGAACAACAACGAAAAAACATATCTAAGCGATCTTCCTTTTCTTCTCAAACAAACTAACTGCATCTTAAACAGCCCAAGTAAAAAAAAATCCCAGGGAGAAACCCCCGGACCCCCATTAAAATAAAAAAATTCTACATGCAGGGCAAAGCCCTGGATCATTTGCACAACTAGCGACGCCCCTCTGGACATGCATACACGAAGCAAGGGTGCCTACAAAACTAACACTTTTATTTAAAACATTGTCTTACCTGCAAACAAGTATCATCCCACTGTCTCTTCTTTTTCCTTTTTTCTGCCCCCGACTCTTTCGAGGCCATGTCTGATGTCGATCAGGTGTCTGCCAAATTTGACACTGATTGAGGAACAGACCACTGCGAGGTGGGGAAGGGGGGGCACCAGAGGGATAGTGGCACAGGAGATTCACCTTTATCTCCACTAATTTGGTCTAGGCCTATATTACTTTTGTATTGCTTTTGTATATTAACATGCTTTAGACATATTGTATTTGTTATTTATACTAGTAGTCTATTGTGATGATTTTTCACCACCCAGATTTTTTGGTGCCCCCCCAAGCACTTGGTGCCCTACGCGCAGTGCGTGATGTGCGTGTGCGGAGCGCCGGCCCTGCAGAAATTAATCATATTTTTGAAGAGTGCCATTAGTGTTGTAATTAAAGTGGTTTTATTTGACATGGAGCAGTCATCTTATGTGGACAGAAATGTGAGATGATCATCAGACAAATACTAATGCTGCCTTCAAGAGCACTCGAGCACTCGCATGTCTACTTCTATCGGACACTTTATTTGCTGCTTTATAAAAGTTTGATAACATTTCAGCAGAAAGAGCTGTTACAGCATGAGCCATGCAGACCGCAGATGAAGTTTGACGGATGTAGCAACAGTAACTAAGGGGGGCGGGGCTTAGCCAAAGGTGAATTGTAGACAGCCTTTTCTAAACCTGCTCCAACCTTTAAAAGGGTCATTGGATGCCCATTTTCTACAAGTTGGGATGATTCTTTAGGGTCTTCATGTTAAAGGAGCTGTATGTAAGATTGTGGCCAAAACTGCAATCACTTTCAAATTACTGTTGAGCAGTGTATCCCCTCCCCCCTGACTCGAGGTTGCCAGATAGGCAGCAGGATCCAAAAATGTTTTTATCCGACCCGTTTGTAGCTGCAGTTGTGGTAACTACAGCCAAGCTGGCAACCCGGATGCTGCAACACTACTGACTTTGTGATTGGTAGATCGGTGGAGGGTGGAGCATCAGACCAAAACAAAACATGACAACATCAACATCAGTTGAGGGCTGCAACTTCACTTTTTAAAGGACAAGTTCAGTATTTACAATTAAAGCCCTGTTTTAAGATCGTTTCTGATTAAATAGAGTGGTTATGTTTTTTAGACAGATGCTGCTGTCACGAGAATTTTTGGTTTCTGTGTTTGCATTTAAAGGGACACACAAAAACAGAGCATTTTTGCTCACTCTGAAAATGTGGCAATGTTAACATGTTATAAATAATTTATCTGTGTTTTTTTTTTATCTAAAACTTCACATACACACTCTGGGGGCACCAGAGACTTATTGTACGTCTCTATTATTCGTAATTCAAGAAATTATACCCAATTCAAGCAGTGAGAAGAGCCGGGTGTGTGTCACAAGTAAAGAAAGTGAGAACACGCAACTGACGTTATTGCCTGCACCAGACCAATCATGTGAAAAAAACGGTCAATTCCGGTCCCGGACCAGCCGGTCGGTTAGTGCATCTCTACATAGGGCTGGATCAGAATATTCGAATATTTGTTTGGTGGGTTGGTATTCGATTTGAAAATGTAACAATCAACTTAAAACGCCGTCTCAGTGTGGACGGAAGGCCAAAACGAAGAGAAAAATATATGTTTTGAAATGAAAACGTATTAGTGTGGACATGGCCTAACCCTCCAAACTCCACCCCCAAGTCCTTCTTGTTGGTCATTGGCTGGAACAGTTTATGTTTCGTGGAGTGGTTGCCGCAGTTTGTTTTTGTTGCCATTTGTGGAGCCTGGGGTGTCTGCAGAAACTGTATTTATTTACAGTGTGTTCAGAGGACAGGCAGCTAGTGGATAGTGAGGAGATGTTTGTATGTGACAAAAAATGTTTTGGCATAAAAAAGCGTGACATCGCTTAGAGCACCTTTAATCAGGAGTGTTTGTTTAAGAAGGAAGGAGGGGGTGATTGTATGATCGTAACTATAGCAGTTATCTAGGCTTACTTTTTTCCATCAACCTTTAGTACATTAAATATTTAGTAATTTATTTGATTTGTATTTTCATGGGGCTTTGAAGAGCTTAAAATGCAAATTATGATAAATCCCATAATTTTTGTAACTTTTATGCAAATGACAAAAAACGTGCTGTGAGATTTTATTAATAGTTGACACAGTATGTTTTATTCAAGCAATTGTGGAAAAGGCAGAGATTGAAATAATGCAAATAATTATTTGGAAATAATGTTTTATATTTTTTTAAGGGTGTAACAGTGTTCAAACCGAAGAGAGAAAATGCGATACACCACCCACGGTTCGTATCGCAATGGACTATGCCCTAGCCCTTGTTGAGGTTCTTAAATATACAGTATGCACTATATTAGTCTATATACAGTGGGGAAAATAATTATTTGATCTCCTGCTGATTTTGTACGTTTGCTGATTTTTGTAAGTTTGTTTTGTTAGACAGCCTGGACACCATGAACCAAATTTGTCCAGAACCCGACCCAGGACCCATACGGGTTCAGGTTTATATTTTAAATGATCAGCCGGGTCAGGTCCGACTTCGGGTTACTTCGGTTCCAGGGTCTGTTTAACATTGTGTATAATACCCGTGCAATATATATATATATATTTCAAATATATATATTTCAAATCAGCAACAAAATATGAGGTGAACTGTCACATAAATGTTTTCTATGACGTTCAAATTGCGTTAAAAAACATATTTTAGGTTGATCCAGCTAGCGCGCATGTGCAGTCTCAAGCGCGTGTCATGTTTCTATGGCAACCAAATTTTTCGCCAAACTGCCCTTTACATTTTCTCCCATTTTTTTAATAATATAAAAGAACCGTCTAGTTTATTCTTAAAGTTTTGGTGGTCAGATTCAGACTCAATGCAGAGCCCAGATATGATAGAAAATAAGCGGCCATGGCACTGAACGAGCAATCGTTATTATAGTTCAAAAGGGCAAACAGTTAAAGTTATTACGGGGTTAACTCGGGTCAGAATGTACACGTGCAAAGTTGCAGTTGTCATCCATCACCGTGACATCAAGTGGATTTTTAAAGCTGAAATAATGAGTGGATTAAGCTTGGAATAACGAGAGAAATAACATGGATAGAACTTTCTTGTCGGTGGATTGTAATCGATCACAGTCAGTCAGGTAACGTTACAAGGAAGTGAGACAACGGCTACTAAGATTAGGTAAGACAAGAAGTTTTATTTTTCGCAACTTATGTGAAATAATATGTGACAATCAGGTCCAGTCGGGTTTGTGTCTTCCCGCCGAGTTCGGGTCCAGTTTTCAAATAATAGACGGGTCCAGGTCGGGTCCAGGCAGTACATTTATGGCATTTCTCGGATCTGCACTGGTCAGGGACAGGGTCCAACTTTTGAAATAATAGACGGGTCCGGGTCGGTTAGGTGTAGCACATTACGGTTCGGGCATGAATTTTTGGACCTGTGATGATATACCGCCAAGGCAACAAAGGTTTGGCCCAAGAAGAAGCACATTAAGGTCATGCAGTGGGCTAGCCAGTCTCCACACCATAATCCATAATAGAAAATCTGTGGAGGGAGATGAAACTTTGAATTGCTAAACGACAGCCAAGAAACCTTAAGGATTTTGAGAGTATCTGTAACCTGGACCAAAATCCCTCCTGCGACGTGTACAAACCTGGTGAGCAACTGCAAGAAACGTGTTGCCTCTGTGCTTGCCAACAAAGGTTTCTCCACCAAGTACTAAGGCATGTTTTCAAATGGATCAAATACTTATTTCACTCACTGAAATGCAAATCAATTTATAACCTTTATATAATGTGTTTTTTCTGGATTATTTTTATTGATATTCTGTCTTTATTTATTAAAATAAACCTACCGTAAAAATTACAGACATTATCAAGGAATCACGTTGATTCAATTACCTCAAATTCCCGTATTTATAATTAACATTATACAGGAGTTCGGAAGAGCAACACTAGAAAATTACACCACTTGGGCCACAGTTTAACACAAGCTGGTGTTAAAGTGTGATGGAGAGCTGTACACAATGATTTTAACACTGTAACACCATAAGGACTTACACAATTCCTGTGTGCAAGTCATGGTCTATGTTGTCTAAAGGTCTAATAGCAAGAGAAGAATGGTGTTGATGTGACAAATGCCAAAAGCAGGTAATTTTTTACTTTAATAAGCAAATTGTCTGTGCTGTGATGAGGCTTACATTCTGACTGAAATTCTTGACAAAATTAAATGACACTTATAATATTATAGGCATAAATGGCAGATTTCAAAGGTGTTTTTAATATCTGCTGCTTTGTGCCGTTTTTGTCTCTTTTCATCTTAGGTTTGATGCCACTGAAAGAGGAGAGTGAAGCACTGAATCAAATGAAAGAAAAAGATCAGTTTGAGAAACATGATTTCATGGCTGCCGGAAATTCCAAGCAGACTGAAAATACTTCTACACAAAAAAGAGTGCAAAAGACTGACCCTAACAGTTGTTTCACATGCTTTCGGTGTGATGAGAGTTTCAATCAACAGAAAGCCCTTAGAGTCCACATGGTAATTCACAGAGGAGAGAAGCCTTATACCTGCAAATACTGTGGAAAAGATTTCCCTAAAAATGCATACCTTAAAAGCCACATGAGAGTTCATACTGGAGAGAAGCCTTTTACCTGCCAACAGTGTGAAAAAAGTTTTGCCCAAAAATCAACCCTTACCAGGCACATGAGAATTCATACAGAAGAGAAGCCTTACATCTGCAAACTGTGTGGAAAGAGCTTTAAGTGGAGCATAAGCCTTACCTATCATATAAACAGTCACAGTGGAGTAAAGCCATTCACATGTGATCAGTGTGGAAAAAGTTTTAGACGCAAGAAAAACCTTAGTTCCCACATGAGAGTTCACTCAAGAACGGATCGTTTTATATGTCATGAGTGTGGAAGGAGTTTCTCTGACATAACACACCTTAACAAGCATGTACCAATTCACTCTAAAGAGAAGACTTTCGAATGCCAACATTGTGAAAAGAGATTTAGATTAAAAGTAGGCCTTAAGCTTCACATGAGAATTCACACTGGAGAGACGCCTTATCCATGTCATCACTGTGGAAAGACTTTCAGATTTAAAGAAAGTATTAAGACTCATATGAGACTTCACACTGGAGAGAACCCATACACATGCTCTCAGTGCGGAAAGAGTTTCAAATATAAAGCAACCTTTAAAGCCCATATGAGAAGTCACACTGGAGAGAACCCATACACATGCTCTCAGTGTGGAAAGAGTTTCAAATATAAAGCAACCTTTAAAGCCCATATGAGAAGTCACACTGGAGAGAACCCGTACACCTGCAAACTGTGTGGGAAGAGTTTCTCACTAAAAGGAAGTCTTAAGACTCACATGAGAATTCACACTGGAGAGAAACCATTCAAATGCGTTCAGTGTGGAAAATCTTTCACACGCAAAGAATCCCTTGATTACCACCTAAAGATTCATTCAAAAGAGAACTGTTTTAAATGTCATCAGTGTGGAAAGAGTTTCCCAGACAGAAAAAACCTTAAGAGGCATGCAATAATTCACACAGGAGAGCAGCCTTTCACTTGCCAGCTCTGTGGAAAGAGTTGCAGATTTAAAGGCAACCTGAAGAGTCACATGAGAATTCACACTGGAGAGAAGCCTTTCATCTGCCCTCAGTGTGGAAAGAGTTTTGCATTTAAAGGAAACCTTGAAGTTCACATGAGAGTCCACACTAGAGAGAAGCCTTTTAGATGTCTTCAGTGCAAGAAGAGTTTCACACATAAAAAAGATCTGAAACGTCATTCATTAATTCATTCTGGAAAGAATCTGGTGTGTTCTGAGTGTGGCAAGTGTTTTAGAAAAAGGAGCAATTTCAAAAATCACCTGTGTATTCACTCTGAAGGAAGGTCATTTAATTGTGAACAGTGTAATAAAAGGTTTATTTTGCCGTCACACTTAAAGATACACCTGAAAAGTCATGCGGATGTGAGACCCTATTTGTGTTCCTTGTGTGGAAAGAGTTTTAAATGGCTCAGTAATTTAAAATGTCACCAGAAAATGCGTATCTGTGTGAGATCAAGGCTACGTTCATGCCGCAGATGACCTGACCACCTCCTATGCTATAGCTTACAATATTGAGTGATTTTGGAAGACTGACTCTAAATTCAATTGTTTGGATGCATCTCTCGTGTATTTGATTCAGTTTAATACTTTGGTATCAACATTTTAGATACAATTCTGTCTTGCTGGGAAATGCCACAATGTAAATGAAAATGAATAAAGGATAAACTTTGTGGAATTATGTATATTTTACTGGATTTATTTATTAATTTTTGAAAGAAAAGTACAGGTTGTCAATCTGGTCTTGAATATGGCTGCTGTTTGGGGTACATCGAATTAAATCTGAGAGCCTATTCCTGCTCCGGGTGTTTAACTACTGATACGGTTACACTAATGATTATAGGTATTTCTAGTTTTTTCAGTTAGTCCGTTTATTTACACAGTACACTTTTTCAAGATGAGTTTAGGTGTCCTTTGAAAAAAAAGGAGTCTAAAGATAGAATTCAGAACTGCTATGTACACCAAAGCTCACATGAAAAAACATACCAGAAAATGTTTTACATTTATAAACGTAAAAAGTGCTTTTGTATCTTTTTCTTGTAATTTACCATCTATGTACACCGTGCAGCATCATGAATGATTTAGGATAAATATTTACAATTGTTTATAGCTTTTTTCAATACTTATTTATAAATGATTCTAGGACCTCAGGTCATCAAACGGGTTAAAGAAAGCGAATGCTCAGTCCTCCTAGTAGCATGGTTCCCAGACCTGGCGCAGATGACAAGTTCCTTGGCCTGTGATAGTGAGGAAGAATCTCCTCACGCAGGTAAACGGGACGATTTGGAACCCTCACCCCGACTTGTGAGTCCATGTGTGGCCCTTCAACGGGTATCCGAGGACCTCCCAGAGAAGGTCTTGAATACTATCACTGAGGCTAGAGCCCTGTCTAACAGATGCCTCTATGGCCTAAAGTGGTCAGTGTTCACCGGCTGGTGCAAAGCTAGCCATTTCGTACCCCAGTCGTGTGGAGTATCAGTGGGACTCTCCTTCCTGCACGATCTGTTGGATGCGGGTCGCTCCCCATCCATGCTCAAAGTGTCTGTGGCAGCCATAGCAGCCTACAATGCTTTTGTGGCTGGCCAATGACTGGGGAGAAACGACCTCGTCGTTTGTTTTCTCAAAAGAGCCAGGTTGATGAACCCCTCCAGGCCCCCTTCTATCCCGGCTTGGGGCCTCTCCACGGTCCTTGGGGCCCTGAAGGGTCCCCCATATGAGCCACTGCAGTCGGCTGATCTTAAGCCACTTTCTCTAAAAACTGCTCTCCTGCTGGCTCTGGCATCAGTTCAGTGAGTGGGAGATTTGCAGGCACTCTCTGTGAGCCCTTCCTGCTTGGAGTTTGGTGTTTTGGTTACTCCAGAGTCACGAACAAGCCGAAGCATGGATTTGTACCTAAAGTGCTCTCAACTGTTCAGAGCGCAGGTTGTTACATTATCAGCTCTTTCACCCTCGGGGAATGATGGGGAGGCTAATTTGCTCTGCCCTGTCAGAGGTCTAAAAATTTACCTGGAGCATTCTGCGCCTTTCAGGCAATCAGAACAGCCCTTTGTTTGCTTCGGTCATGAAGCAGAGACTGTCTAGATGGATAGTGGATGCCATCTCTCGAGTAGTTGCTTTGGTGGGTCAGGTTTTCCCAATAGGCACTAAAGCTCACTCCACAAGAGGCATGGCTCTTTGTGGGCCTGGTCTTCTGGGGCACCAATTCAAGATATGAGCAGCTGCCAGTTGCCTCCTCGTCATCCACATTTGTGAAATTTTATAACATGGAGCTTCCTTGCTTGCTGACTCGAGTCCTCTTAATTCGATAATTAGACCTGACGGTGTCTGGTCTTATCAGTCTAACATTCAACTGTCTATAGGCACAATTGTCCTCTTGTTCATGAAACCCGATTCAGTTCCGGGTCTGTCATTTATGTGTTTTTTTGTTTCTTGTTTCTGTGAGTCTTGGGGTGCTCCCTATGCTCCAGTTTATGTAGCCAGTTGCTAATAGAGTGACGTGTTACATTAGCTACGCAATATGAAGTGACCGTTCTCGAAAGGGAACATACTTGGTTACTAACATAACCTTCCTAAGAGTAGGGAAAGAGTATTGCGTAACTAATACGCAGTAGGGGTGCAATGTAACACGCCACCAGGGCCGCATTAAGAGCTCACTTGGCCCTGGGGCTATGAGTTACTGCAACCCCCCCTTATATTACTTTTAACCCGATTTTTTATCATATCAAAATGTATTTCCACTAAAATTTCATAAATCTTGTGACCAATTTCAATATCACAAAAAATAATAGTGGCTTAAGAAAATAATCTCAAGCTTACTGATGTCAAGTCACAAATTAAAATAGAACAAAGGCACATAATAAATCGACCTACTTGAAAAACTTAAAGCACTGAATAATATTACATTGTATAAAGTAATCAAATATACAAAAAACGACCATTTACAAAATGAATTCTCTCCCGCTGCTCACTGTGCCTGAGCAGTTTGTAATAATTTGTATCCAAACCACAATACATAAAAACGCATTTAAATGATAAACTTAGGCCTACACATCATAATGGCGCAGCAAAATTTAAATATTTCTACCGGATATATTATCGCCAGCCCTTTAGCCGAATATAGAGTTTGATCAAACACAAAAAGCAATATCATACCTCCATCAAGTTAATATTCAAACTTACCGAAAGTTTGTGGGGTCGACGATGACGCTGTGTTTTAAGAATAGACTAGATTAGAATGAAGTGAAGAGTAAAGGCGATTTATTGGTTGATGTATATTCTAATAAGGTGCAGGCAGCCATCTATAGGCCTACGTGCAGCAGCAGGTCGATCATTCACAAGTATATAGAATAAATGTACAGTATTTGTCATATCAAATTAAAACGTGACGTTTCAATTCACCATGCCCTGCTGCCCACGGGGGGTTCATTGACAGGTGGCCTGGCCAATCATAACGCCGAATACGCAACTTTGTCCGACAATAAAGCTGTCAGTAGATTAACGTCGGTGGACTTGAACTTGAAAACAGTATTGTTCAAATTTCTTAAATGACAATATGAAAATAGAGACTTTGTTTCATATCAACAGTAAGCTGCTCTGAACTCTCTCTCTCGTAATCACTCGGTGTAACGTTAGTCTTTGCCCCGCAATGTATTTTTCACTGCGTGAGTGCATGAGAACATGATGTGCGTGACTCATGAGAGCCGCCTGGCTCGTCGCTCGTCACACAGTAACTAAAAAAGGCGGGTCTTTGCGAACGTCTCTATAATATTTATGAGAATGATTCCATGATAATGCATGGAATATAAGGCAAAGTGCCACTAAATAACAGGGCTAATTTGTGGGTGGCATTGCGTGGTAAGGCTTTAGCAATCAGATGGCTTGGAGTATCTGCTCCACAACCAATCACAGGCCCCCTCCTTGCTCAGGCCCCGGGGCTTTAGCCCCGCCTAGCCCTATTGTTAATGCAGCCGTGCACGCCACGATATTGTTAGAGTTTGTCGCTTCAGTCAAGTTACATCTGCTTTAATGCAGAATTATGGGATCTCTTATAGCCATAAGCCCCGCCCATTCTGGCAGGCTCTGACGTGCTCTGGCGCGCAGTCGCTTGATTGGTTCGCATGTCAGAGACGCTTCGCCTTAGGGTGTGCAGTTGCTGCAGCACAGCCAATGGGCGAGGCTAGACTCTCTGCTGTGCTCGCTGTGTAACTGCACTGCATTTTAAATATAGGCTTCAATATTTCTAGAGGAAAGGAGTTCCCTCACTGCGTTTTAGCTACGCAATACTCGTTCCCTACTCTCGGGGAACCAAGGTTACGTTAGTAACCTAATACTTTCACCTTTTACCTCTGTTATTGTGTCATTGTTTGATCATTATTTTCAGGTTGGAATTGGTCCAAACATTGCTATCGGTGCCGAACAGTTTGGCCACATGAAATGGATAGATAAAAAAAGCAACAAAATAGCTCTTAGTGGCTGTCTTTGGAAGAGCAACATTGGGATAAATAACACACTGTTAAAAGTTCCAATCCCTTCAAAGAAAAAGAAGCAAAGCCACAAATGGAGTGTCAAAAAGTGTCTGACATAATTAATGAGTAATATATTTTCCTAAAAAGTTGTGGGAGGATTGCCATATTTTAAAGGGGTCAACCACAGCAAATGCTTTCCTTTGGAATAAACTCCCTGAGAGTTCAAATCAACTCAATCTGAGTGTAGATGCGTGAACATCAATAGACTGCAGTGCAGAGTTACAATAACTCTCCTCTTACTGTGCGTTCACACCGTCGCCGGTGAGAGCATAAAAGTGTCCGGAAGTCAGTCATTTTCAATCGAGCTTGGGCAAGAGCAGCACGGTGCATCTTGGACGGTGAGAGCGGTGAGGAGAGTTGAAGTCAGGCAATCACGAATTTATTACCATCAGTGTTATGTGTGGCCGAGTCGATCGATTTATACGTGTCCCCAAACAAGCTTCCCATGGCACCTAAGGCCGGCACCACATCTTCCATCTCTTGCGCACAGTCGCCGTCGATCTCACCCTCAGCTTCCTTCAGCTCCTGAGATAAGCTTTCAATTACGAGTTACTAACAAAATTATAAATTATTTATAATTATTTATAATTCATCATTTTGACACTAATGAAATTAGCCTGTTAATGTTAAGCATTAGCCTGTGCTAAAAGGAATAGAAGGAAAAGACAAGCCTACCTTTCATTTCTTTGATAGCTGCTTTCTGTGTTGCGTCAGGAGTGGTCAGCTGAGAGAGCATAACATGTTGTAGAGGGAGGACGGCAGATACTGTAGGGTAGGCATCAGTAGAGAGGGCCTGAGTTGCAATTTTGAATGGTTTCAGTGTCTTTTATTTGTTCAACCACAGACCACTCCGAAGTGCTGAGTTCCAAGGGGGACATTTTCTTTTCAAAAATGACCAAGGCCACGGCTGCTTGTTGTCATGATCATGTCATACGTCGTGTTCCATCTCGTGACGCAGTCATTTATCATTCTCTCCTTTTTTAGTCCGATAAGCTCCTGCTTTGCCTCCAACAGGCAGCACAGACTTTCCAAAATGTGCTGCCGTCTGTTTAAGGCAAGAAAGGGCAGTATGAATAGCCCTCACCTCTAGTTCCTTACGCACGGCGAGATTTAACGTGTGCGCCAAGCATGGTACATGTATGAGGCCTAAATCATGTATGGCTTTCACATAATTCTGCGCATTGTCTGTGGTG